ATCACCAATCAACTAAACGGCACAAGAAGAAAAACTTTGTCAATGGTATAGTTTTTATCTACAATATGGGTAAATCCTCTGAACGCCAAAGTAGGTATCGGGTGGTTTTTGTTCCTATAACATTTACTTACAAGTCCTGCACCTCTATGGAAACAGCATAACTATGGCTAGCAGTAGAGAGAACTCAAAAATGCCTTTTGTGTACTTTATCATAGATAAAACCCATGAATCGTCAAAAAAGAAACAGAAAAAAAAATAGAGTTTTGTTTGACTACTTATTTCAGTGCCCACAGTTGATCCAATACTTGGAAAAAAAAATAATGCGAGTCTACGTACTATAGGTACTTCACTACTTACATGCATTTTTAATTTGTTTCCTATCTGCTCGGTGTAAACACGACCTGCAGTTCAACCGCATTCAGCCGCAAAGTCCCTGAACTGTTGTCAGGAGACTGTTGGTCACTGCTGTGGCCCTAGTGGGTTCACACTAGTGTGCAGTAATTTTTGTGTTTTACAAAATCTGGTTAAAAACATGTACAATAAAGTCATTTTTATTAAATATCTCAATTTTTTTGGTTTATATTTATACTATTCCAACCGAACAGCACGTTACAGATAAGCACTTCAAGGACTGTTAGAAAGTTGAAAATCTCCTGGTTCTTTCTGATTTTATAGTTTCCAGCTCTGATAAACGGTGTCATTTTAGCAATTTTTTATAAAGACAGCACGCCTTCGAGGCTTGAGTATCTGAGTTGAAGGGTTTAAATCACCCGTCCCTATCGGAAATCTGAATTTACAACTCGGATATCTCATTACTCTTGTTTGGCTCCTGGTCCACCGGTTTCTGACTGTGTGAGCTCACTGCTCAGAACAGAGACCGCACGTGTATCTTTTCAGGTGCCAAACAAAAAGATGTTAATGTCACCTCTTTTGTTCGGTTTGCGAGCGAGAGCAGCACGGAACAAACCGCTGCGGGTGTGTAAAGTTTGCCAGGGACAGGATGACACTTCGCTCCTCTTCCCATCAACCAGAATCGAAAATGTGCTGTCAGTGTCTTTAAACCCAACAAGATGACAGGCTTTAGCCAAACAAATTACCGTGGCAGCTGTTGCATACAACGTTGAAAAGATGACTTGTAAATAGCAGGAAGCAACAGCTGCAGTAAAAGAAATCCATGTTGCCGTCAAGAATGATGGATTTACCGTTTTAAACTGCGCGCATTAAGTGCGGGCCTCCCAGCTGAAGCGTCGACAGAAGAGTTCAGCGACTTCGGGGTCTCGGCCATTCCTCCGCCGCAACGGATCTACGGTCAAACAGCGGGAGCACATCCATCCAGAACTTCATGTGCATTTCATTAAGTGCATTTCAAATGTTGGAAACTTGAATAACAAAAAGGTTTTTATGCTTCGCCGAGGTGGAAAAGTGCAACTCTTGCATGTGATTTGTTGCTGAAACTTCCCCTGTGCCGGGTAGAAGAAGAATGAACAGAGAATATCAGATCTGTGTGGACCAGCGAGGACGATAGTAACCTTTTTACATTAATACACAAACATAAATGGGTCTTTATTTACTTCCTTTGATTGCTTGATAACAGAGAATTGCAGCAGCGCAGTAGCAGCTGGAAACACATTAACTAGCATTTCCTTCCTCCAGTTTGGAGATTACTCGCTTGAAATCCGCTCGAGATAAACGTACAAAGCGACATGAGGAATGGCTGTCTACAAACCTGTTACACCTCAGATGATTCGGTTGCACTCGCCCTCAAAAAAACGCCTTCAAGCTCCGTATATTAGATAGAACAGATCGCCCTCCGATAACGGCGTTGGTATCGTTAAAGCTCTGGACCTGAACAGGTGGAAAAAAAAGACTGCAGCGCTTTTTTCCGTCGCTGGCTGCATCTTGCCATCGCTAAGAGAGAGAAACTGTATGTGCGAGGAATAAAGAGGGGCTGAGAGAACAACAAAATGGGTACTTTATAGGTTGAGTGTGTGTGTGTGGGAGGATAAGGAATCATTATGGTTACATTTATGAAGTCAAAGATGTTTTAAGGTCTCCATTAGTGGGAATTATTAATATTGGCTAAAAAGCTTAGGCCTTTTCAGCTCTGTGCATTTGTATATATGCAGATAAGAAGTGTGTATTTCTACTGTACGCGCGCGCGTGTGTGTGTGTGTGTGTGCATCCTCGACACAAGTTTCCAGCCAAAGCATGTTATTAATTTCCAGCCAAAGTAATTATCTGATCAAGAGGTCTGTGTTTTAATCTTCATAGAGACAGAAGGAAGAGGGATCCATGAGCTGAACAAGCAAGTGGTGTGTGTAAGTGAGTCATTTATCCTTTAGTTGGAAAAGGAGGAGAGATTTGGCAGCTATGAGCTTCATCTGCCCTCCCATCAGTTCATTACAGAATTCCCTACTAGGTGGAGAACAAGCAGAGGGGGGGGGATGATCCAGAGTGTGCTGGCAGAGGAGTGGGCCATTACCCAAGACACAGAAACCAGACATCTTGTTCACACTTGGCAAGACACAGATGTTCTAGAGTCGGCCCGACGAGGCGCTACGACCCCTCGTCTCCCGCCCGTTCTCCTCGTCGAGTCGGAGCTGCACCTGTTTGGAACCGGCAGCTTGTAAACATCAGAAAAAGGTGAACCGGAGCCAAGTCGACTGAGACTATTTTCCGAAGGGTGTTGCTCAATAATTCCCGCCACCAAAAGGAAAAAAAAAAAAAAACCTGCAGGACTTCACCTCCCACGCACAGATCTGAGGTTAAGCATCTCCTAAATCCCTCAGAAGAAGACAGAAGAACGAAAAATGCCGAGCTGAGCCAGAGGTCAGGTCATCAGCTGCGGAACCGTGCGGACCCAGCTGGAAGAACATGCTGCAGCAGCTCCTCTATTAATGGCCTGATGCCCGACTCCCACAAAACTCTGACCAAAATGAAGTATTTGGGGGAAATCCCAAAGTTCTTGCTCGAAATACAAAGTCAACAAAGTCCCTCCCGTAAGAATTGGGTAGCTTCTCGGTAGCTGCGGTAGTTTAACATCTCACTTTATTGGGCGTGTAAGCTCAGGAATCAAATCCCATCCAAGCCACGGGTGGCATCACGTGTACGCTACGTCCATGTGTTTTGTAAAGGGTGCAGCAGAACTCCCAAGTCTCTGTGAGAAGAAAGGTTTGAGGCCTCAAAACCAGACGCAGCTGACAGATTTGTGTTCCTGCCACAGAATACGTGAAGTCATGCGTGTTCGGGTTGTTCCTGTTTACAACTACTTCTGATTGGAAAAGTTTCATTGTTAAAAGTTCTCATTGTTTTCATGGAAAATTTGTTTTTTTAAGCACAAAACAGCCACCCAATGAAGCGGATCATGTCGGGAAATTAGTGGAGAGATGGCTGTTTGGCCAACTTTTTGTATTATGTTAATGTAAGTGTTAGGGTTACAGACTCTCCAGCTGCTTATATGTGTATTTGGAGTGAAATGAATTTGCCAAAACACACAATAAACAAAAGACAAATTTGACTGAAAGCATTTTTTTTCTTCCTCATGAATTCTTTTAGCCATGATGATCACATACCAAAAAGCTGATATCCCTAAAAGCCCCATGCTGTATAAAGGCACGTCCATTCTTCTACTCATGAAGGCAAAAAAAAAGCACCAAAAAACACACTAAGAGTGAAGCAGCATCCCTTTAAACAGTTGTGTACTCGTTACAAATTTCCACCCACTGTTGGCTACTATAAACAGTACCCACCAGAAAAAGCACAAAGGCGAATAATAAAGTGTAGTCCTCACAGGTGAACAGCAGCATGCAGCCTACACAGCAGTACGGTACTTTTAAAAACCCTGCAGTTCAACAGCTCTTGAAGAAACCCAGTTGTGATCCTTTGATCCTCAGTAAACACAGGTCCATTATTGCCAAAGACTATTTTCTATCAAAGGTTGTTTTTTTTTTTCTGCAGAAAGATGTTTCAGCAGCACTTGAGTCGGTTTTCAGTTCACTCCACAGCACCGAAACTTCCCTATTAATGGCACACACACAAAAAAAGAAAAACTGAAAAAAGGCAGAGACGTGTAAGAAGATTAGAAATAGTAAATAAACACCCAGGCGTCTGGTTTCTCGGCGTGGCTCGCTGACACTCGCTCCTCCACCCTTGCATTAAGCAAATTATCCAGACGCTGCCCCCGTTGTTATGCTGATGATGTTGAGCTATACTCACTTGTAAAAACCCGACGCTTGGAAACCATCATTTTCTTTAACACTATGACAGATAATTTCAGACTGTTTTATTTCTCCCTCCAGGGTCCACAAAGCTGATCCAGGACAATTTGCCTGTTAATGCCAAGTCTGCTGCCAGAAATGAATATAAATTATGATCCAGATTACATATCTGATGCAAAGTGTTGAATGTTTTTTTTTTTTTTTGTGTTCCTCTTTCGGAGCCTAATGTAAAAGTTAAAAAGCCTCCTGCAGCTTTCTGCATTAACCCACTGAAATCACACCAGGCCTGTATTAGGCTCTATGCGCTGAATGTTTTCCTATTGATTTTAGGGTAAGCTGGTTAATGGTCCCCCGGGAAGCAGGATGGGAACCCTTTGATGACTTGAAAGTGAAAACTAATAGTGAGCTGGCCTTAGGAATGGACTTTCTGAAGACATCAGCGAGGGAAAACCAATATTCAAACCACTGTGAGATGAAGAAGAAGAAGAAGAGAGGGCAAAAACATTGTACAGGAACATTTTCACATTGATATTGAGATTAATGCTGTGCATCAGTGATTCTAATTAGTGAGGTCGTGGTTTTATCCCAATTTCTACGACTATTCCACTCAGATGAACGTCTGGTGTTTTCATTGCACGCTTTTAAAATACCTTGAGGTTTTCCTGCACTTACTTTTGGTTAGGAACAGGATGCAACACTAATTGGACTTTTCGCTCAACCATGTAACCTCACAAAACAAGTCCAGGCAGCATCTGAGAGGAGGGAAAGAAAAATAACACTTACCTTCCTCTGCAGCACCAAGAAGAGTCCAGTCCAGGAAGATGCAGCCCAACAGGACGATGCTCCTGTATATCAGCTCCATGGTGTTGGTGTCAGATGGTTGGGAATGACTGGACTTGGGTTAAAAACCAAGTGGCACCGACAGCCACTCGACTGGCAGCTCGGCTGTGCACTCACTGACCGCAAACCAGTCCGCATTTAAAGTGGACTTGAGCTCAGGAGAAAAAAAAAAAAGAAGCCCTCACACTGTGTTCAAAACACTGCAGCAGAAAAAAAAATACACGCTGGCTACATGCGGTTATCAGCTGATTGTGGATTTAAAGCGCGTTGTTTTTTTTATGGATGCAGCGTTATTCCTGCACACTGGAAACTTGTCCAACTTTGTGTTGTGGTGGAAGTCTGGAGGAGAAAATAAGTTATAAACAAAGCAGAGCGCCGGAGCTCCTCCAAACACCTCAGTCCTCTGCCAGTGCGCACAGCAGCTGTATGCGTAACAACTTGTATGTTGGGCTTTAATCAGCTCCTTGTGCTCCACAAGACTTCTCCCAAAAAATCTCACCCTCAGCTGGATGACCGAGCAGCCTGAATCCGCAACCAGGGCACCTCACTGCACGTCTGTTAGGAATAATCCTCCTCATCACTGGCTTCACACCTTCTTCCACATCTTCTCGTCATGCTCGCCAAACAATCCGGCAAAGTGCGTCTTCCTCTATTTTTTTTTTTTAAATTCCTCCAAGCACCAGACTGTTTGGCTGCGGGAGAGAGAGAGAAAAAAAATCCACAAAAGGTGGTGGGGATATTGCGCGACAGGTCTAGCTTGGCCTGGTTTCAGAGGCAGGATGAGACTGGAACTCAGGGAAAATGTCTAGTTTGCGCACTGGAGAAGTCGGCGGACTCGACGCACGGCGGATATTAAAAGTTGTGCGCTAAAGTAGCTGGTAGGACTGGCTACACTAAGCTGGTCACCGAGGACTCCACCACCGCATCAAACCCGGAGTCGAATGGCAGCAGCAAGCTCCGCCCACTCGGTTCCCATAACAGCTGCGCCAAGTGCGCAGGATGAGGCGCAGCGCATCCGGTGAGTGCCTTCAAAATGAAATACACACTGCTGAAGGGTTGAAAAGTAGTAAAATAGGAATTTTTAAAATACGGTAAATGTAGTTGGGTAGGCCTCATACAATGGCCACCACTAGATAATGAATCTTATTGTTCTGATGCAGGGAAAGTCAAGTGTCACAGCAGCAAAGAAATGCACCAAACAGACCTACAGAATAGATAAGGTAAGGCAATAGATAGTCAAACTAGGATCACTTAGTATAGTTATATATAAAACTATATACTCTATATATACCCTTATATATATTATTGTCTATTATTCTTTACTATATATAGCATTGTGGTATTTTATGCCATATATTTATATAATAACAATGATAATATGCAGTATTTAACACAATAAATAGTATTATAGTGATCTAAATTATTCTATACTAATACAAATATGGTAGCATCATATACAATATCACTAGTATTCTATACTATTATTATATTATGATGTACAGTATACAATATATATATACCATATAAATTATTATTCCTATGTATAGTATATAAACTGTAAGCATTCTGTACCATATATGGTAATATTATATATCAGCTTTATGTACTATATGTGTTTTTAAGGTGGTAGGTAAGTTTGTACAACACATAATACTGTAGCTAGGGTCTTAAACTTTAATCTTTTCAGGTAAACATGTAACGTTGCTCTTATTTCTCTACTGAAAAGCACTTTGGCTCAACATGTGTCGTTTTAAATGCCCCAGCAATGACTTGCTTTGATTTAATTTGACACAACTAAGGGGCAGATAAATGGAAACCATTCATCCAGGCGGACAGCCTCTGAACTTCTACTTACATGTGCTAATGAGTAACAGTGTGGCATCTGAATACTTTGTGCTTCTCACTGTTTTGAATTCAGCTGGTGTCTTGTCCAAATGTAGCTGTCTCAATTCCCTCCACATGAGGCATGCCAGCCAAAGCTTTTATTTTGAAAGCCAATCCTCACAATCTCCGGTGTTATTTAGAATATTTCTGAGCGTCTTGACTCCAAAGCAACAATTAAGCGCTTCCTCTTACCATCTCTGGCATGCTGTTTCAGTCAACTGTCCTATGGATGAAAGCTGCAGGTAGGCGGCTTTACTTTGAGTCTAACCCCCACAGAGATGAGTTCAGATCCCTGATGGAGGCCCACTGGGAAGGCAATGGGATTGTGCAGCCTTTTCTTACACTGGCCATAATAGAGAGAACATCTGTAGTATGTTTGATTGAACATGTAAAGACCATAGATTGCATACAAAGAGGCCACAGAGCAGCCCCACTGACACCCTCCAGGCCTTCAAGGACGCTGAGGCTTTGAACATGTACAGTATGTGGACGCCAATTAAAGCCCAAAGTGCTGATGTTTGTGAAATGCTGATGGGCCAGCTTATTTCTTCACCTGATTCATGATGCAACCCTTTTGCAATATTACAGTCAGCAGTTAAACATATATATTTTCTTTCAAGTCATCAGAAAAAAAAGGGGATTTTGCTCATTTAGCATTGCTAGCATTAGAAACTGGTTCCCTGCGTTCGCACCGCCTCATCGGTGATCCTGAAGCGTGTATGTTTCATGACATCTCCTTGGAATGTGCATATTTTTCTACAACTAGCCACCACTTCTGAACGCAGTATGTTTTTAATGAGCGCCATAACATTACGAATTCATCACATGAGTGTTGCGGCGCAGCTTATTTTCTTATTTAATTAATGGTTGTTTTCCTCAAGGGGAACTGAATGGAATCGCTTTTTCTGGAGAAAATCTCAGAAAGACAGCGGCGTAAATAAGAAGGAAATGCAAATTTTAAGTAGAAATGACAAAATGTAAATAAGACATTAGCAATTCAAGCTCGCTAACAAGGCCAGACCAATGTTTAATTTGGGCAAGGCGAGAACAGTGTTTCTCCTTCTCCTGGGGTCAACTTGTTTTGCTGCTTTTTTTTTTTTTATGTAATGTCTGTCAAGAAGTTCCGTCCACTCGTTCAGTAATACATCATTTTGACATCACTGCAGGCCAACGCGCGGTTGATGCTGTAATCTCTCAAAATGTGACCCTACCCAGTGTTAAACCAATCTTGGAATCTGAAAACGTACCAGCATCAGACTGCCATGAGCTCTATGTGAAAACAGAATTATCTCATTTATATCGCTCATTTACTTAACATCTGCTGTGAAAGTTGACATGCAAAAAGTAAGATGAAAACACAGTTAGGATTTGATTCTTGCTCTGCTTTTCTTCTTTCATCGCATCTTTGTGCTCAACCGCACTGCAATTTTGTATCGCCACAAATGATAATAAGCGAAATCAATAAGAACAGCCTGCGACTCCTCCTGACTCCGTAGAAGTGCCTGTTGCATACTCCTGTCTGGCATTTTTTTTTCCTTTCTGTTCCTTTGTTTGTACGCTACTGTGTTGTATAAGTGGCTACAAAGTCAAAACAACATGCATAAAGATGATGCCTCGGGGTATTCGGCTCACCAAAGCTGTCACATTCACCGTATGCAGTGTATGAAATTCTTCTTTATAATCTTTAATCAGACTCTCACTTCCAGCTCTGGGAAGCTGCGGTGGGAGCTTCAGCAGGAAATAATTGTGAAACAACCGAGACTAAGAAATGTCCTTGGGAGATTCTCTTCTTTCGCTTCACACTAAATCTACAATTTGTAGAACCTCTGGAGTGTAAGACAGAAGAGCTTTGGGATGCGAGTGACCTACCGGTGGGAGAAAGCTGAGGCTATCTGTCAGCTGTTTGTGCACACTTTGTTTATTTTTGCAGCAGCTGTGTTATCAGACACCTGAAATCATCCCTGTTTTACCGATTGTCACACGGCGTTGAAAGCCTGAAAGAATGCACAGCATGGGGAGATTGATGAGGCTGGTTTACTAGAGGATTGGGACAAAGAAGAAGGAAAAGGAGCCGAAGGAGTTTGTGCTGGGGCAAATAGTTGGACAAACTTCGTGGAGTCAAGTGACAACAGTCCTGCTCTCACCTTAACCTCTTAAGACCCGAGCTCTTGTTTGATATGCATTTTTTAGTTCTCTTTGCTATGTGATCTGATCAAATAGCAAAGAGAATAAAAGATAAGAAAATATAAAGAAAATAAAAAAATATATATAAAAAATATTTTTAAAAAACATCTTAAAAACAGTAATATAATAATTGTAATAAAATAATAAAAATAAAAAGAGATAAAATGAAGAAATAATTAACTACTGTGGTAATATAACCCAAAATGTGATGTCCATGCATATGGATGCCAGGTCTTAAGAGGTTAAAGCTGCCCTCTGGTGAAGATTACTTACCCATCCACCCATTATCTATACACCACCTAATCCTCAGAAGGGTTAAGCGGGGGCTGGAGTCTATCCCAGCTGACTTAG